AGCGGATGCGAGGCGTGGGGTTCTTTTTGACTCCATGCTGACATGGCTGTGTGATCTGGCACAGTGTTAATTATGCCCTTAGCAAAATATCAGACCTGTCCCAAACTCTTTTGCAAAATTGCTGTTAAATTGAAAGACGGTCTGTACTTTCTTTCAAACTTAATGCAAACTTAAGATGTTCTTGCAAATTTGCTGCTCATTTGCAGCAAATTTGCTAGAACAAAAAGTCATTCTTGCAAACCTGCTGCAAATTTTAGATGTCCTTGCAAATTTGCTGCAAATTGGCAGCATTAATGGCAATTTCCAGACAGAACTCGTGGTGATAGGTGGGAATCTGCCTGGCCAGAGGTACATTGCCGGCTGCAGAGATGAAGTTCCTACCCATGGACAAAATAATCTGGTTATTTTGTCCATATCCAACCCAACGCTTGCTCCATCCGGGCCACGATAAATCAGGATAGCATAGGCGTACCTGCAAGCAGAAAAAGACCAGGCCTGTAGCAATATCAAAAGGGGTGTTCTTTTTCTGAAAAAGTAGACCTATTCCCATAAAAACTTCATGTAACTAGATCAAATTTTACCCAGAGTGGACCTTTTCCCAGCAAAAGGGGCGGTTCTTTCGAACCCCCGAACCCCCCACCCCCAAGCTACGGGCCTGAAGACACTTGTCAGTTGTCAGCTATATTTAGTCCGCGGGTCATCTGTTTTGAATGCACTCACAGAACACTTATTTTTTTTAAAATTAATTAATGAATTGATTAATTATTTATTTATTTATTTTTACCGAAACCAGACCGTAGTAGGCCTACTCGGAATCTTCTTTGAGGGCTCTTAGAGAAAACGTTGTTTGGAGCAAAGAAACTTCATTTTGAAGAAAAAAATAATAAGTTGTTATTTTCCTTTACACGATTTGATAAAAATAAAGACTCATTTTAAGATAAGCGTAGGTACTCGCGGCAAATGAGTATTTTTTTTTTTTTCAAAATTAAACTTTGTGCTGAATTGGTCAATTATCTAGGCCTACATGAATTACGATTGAGATTGGCGACTAAATTAAATAAACAATAGAGATGATCATACAATTTTTACGACGGCATTATGTCTACAATTATTCTTGATTTAATGTATAAATTAATGCGATTTGAAATGTGGTGAAATGACGTATATGACACCTCTTCACTATATCACTATTATCAGGGTGCGTAGCAATTGTCAACTTCGCACCTGCCCAATATCTCCCCAGTATCTCCGACATTGTTTGGTTATGGCTATACCAACTATGAAATGTGGGGTGGCCGCTGAGAGGGTTATCAATGGCATTCACAATACGTTTTGCACATTTCCAATCTTTTAAAAACATTTACTTTAGATAGCTCTCTTGGACCTACGATCGTGGCACACTGAAACAGATCATTTCGCTCTGGCAATATCACGAAAAGCTTAAGTGTAGCACAGCAACACAAATTGACAAACGGGCTTATTAAGTTAATTATTAAATAAAAATACCTACTTTGTCGACCTTGAAGGCTGTGTGTATGGTGTAGGGTGTTCACTTTGTGCAAACGACAGCAAGTCAGTTGTGTGTAGTTTGCGCAGCGTTACCTACTGCCTTAGCGCAATCCAATATTTCTGACTAACTGACAAAAGTTGTACCGATCAGAAGCAGCTACTCCGTTCAGTTAGTAAAAGCAATGTCATACAAGGAATCTCTTGGATATAAATGCTTTGTTGTGGCATGCGTTTTGCTAGAGGTCGGTCTCTACAGCGTTCCAGTTCTTGGCTGGCCTTCTCTAGTTTATATCTTCAGGGAGGAGAAGTTTTTCGTCGAGCTTTGTGGTTTTGCTGACGAGAGCAATGGCTTTAATAGCACGAGCGGGAATCACACTTACATGTACCTCGGCTGCCCCGGGGAGAGAGAATGCTCCTCCCAGGAGGAAATGCTTAACCTGATCTACACGACAGCTTTAGTGTCCCTTGTTGCCATGACACCATTGGGATACGTTTACGACCATTTTGGAACCACGGTGATTCGTATCATATGCATGTGAGTTTTGGGGTTGGCGCATTTTTTTCTCCAATTTATGTTCTGAAATTTAATTTGCAATGGCGTCGAAGCTGTCAATGGTTCTAACTGCGATGTAATCGCTCTGTAGAATGTTGCTGTGAAGGCCGTCGAAAGTGCAGACGTACTGCTGTTTTTACTTATGTAATACCTGGAAGCGATTTTCGAGCAAAACCCAATAACAAAAATCGCAAAAATAGCAATCAGCAATTGCCAGTGATTTTGCGCACAAGTGTGTTACGTAACTGAGAGAGTTCCCCTTTATGTTTTCCAATTTGTGTTTAATGATTAAACTTATTCGTGCACAGCTCCCACTTGACGTGGGGATTTTTCTTACAAGTGCGCAAGTAAAAGAGAATATTAAGAATTTAAAAATGGCAATTAAATCCCAAATGCTGATATGATGCTATCAGTAAAATGACCACACTTTATTTAAAAACATATAATCCTTGAACATAACATAATACTATCATGACGTTCAGATTCATACAATGGCATTTTTAGGTTAATATTGCCTAACATGGTATATATCTTTAAGATTACAAGTGTATTGCACAATCCATGAGCATCTTATACTACACGCCATGCAATATTCTGTACTGTGGTATCTATTGTTCCTCGTAATTTATCTTATGAAATTTGAAGTGGCGATTTGTTACAAGTGTGTGCGTAGCAGGTGCGCATTGTGCCAAAAATGCCGAAGGACATCGGCCGGTTTTCCTCAAAACCTCATTCGTAATACTCGTGCTAAATGGGGAAAAGTGATCATGTTTTTTATTTATTGAATCAAAAAAGTTATTGTGGCAAGTAAATGAATACATTTAAATCTGACAGCCCGATAAAATGATAAAGTAAGGCAGATGTATTCGTGGCCTACGTACTGTGCATGTGTAACAAGAGCGAGCTTGATCATTTTCTGAACATACCGTTATTTTTGAAACAAGACCGAATACATGAGTGAAATGAAGTCCTTATTATTTAACATTAAAACCTATCGAATCTGTCACCAGATCCCTACTAACAATGTTAGCTACTCGTGTATTTACGTCAAGCTATTACGAAAAGAAGATGAAGCAACTACAATTTTTTAGTCCGCTAGTTATTTTATTTTAGTAGATTACAACAGTTAATCCCTGGATGGAAATATAAAATTTCCAGGCTTAAATCAAGCATTATTATTCAACTTAAATTAACTTTATTATTAATTTATTTGCAGGATATTAAACGTTGGTGGAGCAGTTTTAATGGCATTCGCTCAGAGAGGTAAATTGGAACAATTAGTCTTGGACCCGTAAAACAGTTCAGATCCTCATATGAAAAAAACTTAAAAATTACCCTGTAATTCATGTTTAACTCCTTTAAAGTTACATATAAAGCGAGCGTTGATTCCAGTAACGAACATACCAGTGAACCACTTCTACTAGTTTCTTTCACGACTTATCTGAAGCCAACATGCCAAGTCATAAACCAAACTAATCCTTCGTTCTTTCAAGAAATAGGTTAAGAAGTGCCCCTTCTTCAAATTTCTTGTTGGAAACTGACCTATTTAACAGCCCTTCCAGTTAATAAAAATCCTATAAATGACGTAATACTACGCATGCATTGCATAACGATCACTCTCTCTCCCATGCATGGATGCAGCTGCGTGCGCAGTTCCATACTACATAGTGTATTTCAAATGATGCCGCTAAGGGATATATAGCACAGAAAGAGATCAGGAAATATCCGTTTTTAAAAATATCATTTTCGGGAAATATGAATCTATGCCTAATGGTATTTCTACACATGATATTATTTGAAACTATTTGGTGGCATTTGAAACAAACTCCAAACTAGAAAAGCACTCCGAGAGCGCAGACCTCCGCCAAGGCAGCGATTTTTGATTATTATTGATTATTGATTGATTATTGATCCGGATCACCACCAACAACTAATTACTTCTAAGTTAACCCATTTCCCACCTACCCTGAAAATGTCATCAAAATCGGTCCATAATTTTTTGAGTTATGTTGATGTAAAACAAACAGATAGACAGACAAACAGGGGTGAAAACATAACCTCCTTGGCGGAGGTAATAAAGAGCACGGCAAATTGTCGCTTTTGTGTCGAATAAAGCTTACACGACAAAAATGCGTAACATTTTCAGTCAAAGGATCTGTTTATGGTAACTCAGCGCTTTCTCTGGCCACCTTTACTGGTAGACTTCTATTTTCCTGGTACCTCCCGTCACAATCACTCCAAACTGAATCAGCCTTTTGTATAGGCCTACACGTCTTAAAAGCGGCCGTCTCTTGGCATAAGCAGAGAGAACGATTTCTTATACACTCTGACCTCTTCTCTATGCTGAAAAAAATATTTGAACAGTAATCGTAATCTTTTACTTACAAAGGACCCATTGTGTCGAGTATTAAAATAGGTTATCTGTGAAGTAAATAAGAACAATTTAAGACTGTGACAGCTCGTACATGTTCCCTTCAGTAAATTTATCAATTATTCAATTATCCATTAACTCTGTACGTATCATACTTACTAGTATTTATTTATTCATGTTTTCCAGGTACCGAGTGGCTGTTATTTCCGGGGGCCGCCTTCCACCTTCTGGGCGGTAACATGTACACTGTGACTGGGATGCAGATGCCCCAGTTGTTCCCGTCCAGAAAAAATACCCTGGGGACCCTGATGTCTGGGGTATGTGGCATGAGCACGTTTACCTTTGTACTAGTCAAGGTGAGTCCACTGATTTCTCTCAACTCGAGCCATTTGAAAAGGGGGTTTAACAAGGGTAGAGTTTGGAAAGGCGTTTGATTAATATTGTTTTAAACAGATGTTGCTATTATTTCGCCTAATTTACGCATTGTTTTGAATGTGTAAATTTCAATATTCGAGATTTTTGAAAAGCGTGCATAATATCTGAATACACAGTTTGAACAGTGAAGGTAAAAAGTCCAGGAAGTGTCCACCACGGACACACACTTGCTACATTTGGATGTGAGAATCACACGGCTATAGGCAAGATGGCATAATTTGGCTTACACAACTTCATTCAAATAAAATGATTGGAATAACAAGTACCTTCATTGTAATTTTTCAGATCGCTTATGATAATCACATATCTCACAAGGCGTCTTTACTCTGTCTTGCCGGTGTCTCGTTTGTTATTAGCACGGTCACGACGATTGTCCTTCCTCCAAGAGAGAAGAAAGGAAGCGACAATGACAAGGAAAAACTTCAGAAGGAATTGGATTATGTACCAAGTTCATTAGCAGACCATAAAAAACACACCATCGACAGGAATGGTCCCGTTTTCGTCGTTGCACTTACGTGTAAAAATCACGAAGAGACGAAAGCTAGCGGGATTCATGACGATGTTGCAGATAATAAAAAAACCGAATCAAATGGCGAAATTACTGAGAAAGGAGAAGGATCAACAATCATTGGCGAGTTAGCAAGACAAAACAGCACTGTGGAGTTGCTGTCAAAAGATAGCTTTGCGTCCCTGGAAGCGGTTGCCGTGTCTTCACCTGCAGATAGGACAGGACACACAAAGACGTTCGGAGACATCTTACGCAGCCCCATATTTTGGATGACTGAAATCTGGTTCGTGTGTAATGTACTGCTAGGAGTGGCATATTTTGGCGGTTTCAATGCGATGGTCGTGTTCAGGAACACTGGGGAAAGCCACCGGACAAGTAAGTTGGTAAAAAAAATGGGGCAACAGTAGTTTGGGGGGGGGGGGGGTATTTAATGGTAGGGTTCGAAGACTGAGAAACGAAAAACTTTTTGTAAAATGAACTGAACTAGATCTAAATCTTTTGGTGAACTCGATGGGAATCTCGATTACGCAAAAAAGCCGCTAGTTTGGAGCAATTACACATTTCCTCCTTTGAGAAGTACAGCCAATTACTTACTATCGTTTTTTTAATGTAAATCAAGCTTCATGCTTGACAGCACACTGATCATATCGGAAAAAGGATAGCTACCATTGTCCTGTTGTATTCCAGTCAGTCTGTACACAGATGTGTTTGGCTATCTGCAACTGGCAGGAGGCATACCATTGGCGTTATTAACAGGGTTTCTTATTGAGCGTTCCAGTCGAAAACAAAGTAGTGTCGCCAAAGAGGGTAAGTGCATACTTGTAACGGGTAAACGTTATAATTCTACATCATTTCTGATATGCAATCATTCCAATAAAGAAGGCAGCAAATTTTATATAGATTTGCCTAATTACAGTTTTTACCCATACGGGCATGCTAACCGACATAACATTAAAATTGACTATGAGAAATTCGAGCACGAATGCTTGAGTCGGATGCAAAAGGCGACCTTAAGACGGTAAAAGCATACGCATTTTTAATTTCAATTGTGGAACTGGAAACAGGTCGGTCTAGACTTATGCCAAATAGGTTTTCACCCAGTAGAAACACCGTTGGACACCTAGAGGCTGTACACAAAGTAGTCCATTTAAAATGACAATCTGGATATTTTTCCATAGATAACTTACCTCAGGGCAAATAGTCAGAAACTCGTAAGTCATTCTGTTTTGCTACATGTGGAATTTCAATGGATTCACCTGAAAATATTCAGATAAGCAAAAAAAAAAAATCATTTTTAAATTTTAAACATTATCCTGATGTGTAAAATACCTTCCTTTTTTCTAGCCGAGCCGAAAGCGTTCCTGTTCTCGTTCCTAGTAACTAGCACTGCAGGGTTACTTGTATGGGTCTCCTGCGTGATACCGGTGCTGGAGATGCAGTTTACCGCCATGGCGTTCCACTGCATTCTTGGAACTTTTACCTACGCCACACATATAGCTTTTATTGCCTTTGCGTAAGTATAAATGTGTACCTACATACATTGCCTAAGACGTGGACGTTGACTTTCCTATATGTATACCTAAGTATGTTTGTGGATGTTTATAGGAAATGCAGTTTCAGAACCTCCAATAAGGCCCAATTCTTTGTAGTGCGTTCTGGACTGTGCTCTATTTTTTAATATAAAGAATTGGTAGATTAAGCCAATACAAATTTATCTTCTAAACCGTGCGTGAACGAGAAAATGAAATTCAATATCCAAGCATTTTATTTTGCATCATCACCGTTTCTCATTTCAGATTTCCATACGAACATTTTGGAAAGGCGTTTGGCATTCAGCGGCTGATCGCCACGATGGTGACGGGGCTGCAATACCCAATGTTTACCTGGCTAAAAGATGGTCTGAAAGGCGATCCGTTTTATGTGAGTACTACCCTATATACTAGCCCTCCGGCGTGACAGACATGCTAGTCCGAGGAATGGAAGTCCTGGGTCCCATATGATTAGTACAGGGTAGTGGTTGTATTGGGGTTACCATATGACACGAATGTCACCTTGATAATGTAATGGAGAACGGACTACGGTTCCTAGCGGACTTTCATGTCTTTCACACCAGTGTCCAGGTTGGTAATGTACTAGTATGCCAGAAATTAAAAATATGAAATCAGTTAACAGATACCGATAAAACAAGGAAATGAATGAATGAATAAGTAATAAATAGAAAATAAGATAATTTCATATTTTTGTTTGATTTAAAATACAAAACAAACTAAAATATATTTTAAACATCTTCTTAGAGGCAGTGATCGTACAAGAGGCAGCATTGTTGTTCAAAAAGTGTTGAACATATTGGGCCATGTACATTTAAACGGGGGCGTCTCGATAGTCCGAAGGTTCATTGGTCCGAAAAGTGGTAACATTATCATCGATTTTTTAATCAAGGGTTCATTGGTCCGAAGGTTCAATAGTGAATATTCGGACCAATGAACCTTCGGACTGTTGCTACGGCCCCCATTTAAACATACAAGCCAAGATGTAAACTAACATTTTCTGATAGTTGTAACTTCTCCTATGACAATTGGTATTTCTCAAATGTAAGGATGTAATCTATATCGTTTCACATATTAATATTTCAGTTTAGTCTCATGTTGGTGGGCGTGGCACTGCTGTCGTTCAGTCTTCCACTTTACGTGTTTGTCCAGGAGAGAAAAATGAAGGCGGCGGTTTAGGTCAAGATGGGCTATTCATTTTACCCGGGCTAAAACTGTTGTCTGTAAAGAACCGATCAACGTAATTAACATATGTCCAAATGAAAAACAAAACTGATATTTGCCTTTTTGATACTTAGGTTAATTGTAATATTACTCCAAGGCGAGAAGAATCATGCGAGAGTTACTACGAAATGGGAGTCACTTATACCCTCTACTAGGGCTACACGTTAACTTTTAACCAAATATTCACAGATATTTCTCTCATTTATGTTCTGCGCTTTTCTGTACTGTCATTTAAATATATATGTATTAAATGGCACGGGTTGACTTTATATATGTCCGCTTTTTACAGCTGATTTGTTAAGATTCAGTGCTCCTTTTACATAATTCGCATATGCATTGAGGTAAGAAAATTCAAAGACAATTTAATTTTCAGTATTTTGGCACACAGACTCGCTTCATTGTGTTAACGTTCCTTTTATGACTGAATATCGGCCAAAACTAGCTGTGTATTGGGCAGCAAAAAGATAAATAATAATAATAATAATAATAAGATAAATAATAATACTAATAATTAAACTGGTCAAATATCACAACAAATGTCTTTCATGTCATATATAACCTGCTGTTAACAGCGGTTTCCCTACTGGTCTTCGTGCAAAATAACCGGCTTGCAGTAATCTCTTGTTCACGAGGGACATTGAAACGGGTGTTTGAATGATATTCTGCCACTCTCTTCTGAGGACACTGTACGACCAGCACGGCGCACTCTAAGGAGAAGGCGACCCTGTCTTCTTGGTGTGATAAGCGGACACCCTGGTCAAGGTATTGGAGTAGGTGCCCCTGTTGTAGCATTTCTTTGGAGGGCTTTACTAACGGTTCCTGATAAATGTTGCATTGCCTGGCAATGGCTGTCCGTTTCTGGCCATTTTCTCTGATAGTAAGAATCCCATAGTAAGCTGCGTTGCTTAGCTGTCGAACCATATCTTTTGTAAGGTACATGTCAAGTTTCAGAGCGATCCCTTTGTTGCTTCTCTAAATACACTCCAAAGATTGGCCAAACCCATGCGTTTTTATACAAGGGCAGAAATTGCCGAAAAGACCACCCCTCACATTTCTGACCATAGAACATGCAACTGCATGCATCAATTGTTTCGAGAGTTGTGTGGTAATTAGGTAACACACCTGGCTACACATGGAGTGACACCTTAGTTTTGGATTTAAAGTAGTAAGAGAGAAAATAAATATTTTGTAGAAAATTTACTCACCAAAAAATTATATTCCATATTAAGTAGCAACCCTGTATATTTAAATTTCAATCTAGGAATACCAACTACTGACAACTGGATGGACTTCTTTTCAGTTACAGTACAACTGACGATGAAAACATCTGTCACTTGGGAAGGCGTATTGATGAAGATAAATTGTATTTACAGTAAGTTTTTGATATTGAAAACTAAAGCCTAGATTACATTGGATTACGCGATGTCCGTGTGGTGCACGTGTACTGCCGGTAAATGTCGTTTTGTGCGGAGGCAGGCGTCGGCAGCGCGAAATCTGTTGTTTTACGATCCCCGTAGCCTCTATGTTTTTGCCAAGCTTGGACTTTTGACTAATTTTTAAAATCGTTAAATCGTTGATCGTTAAAATCGTTGAGGTTATTGCACAGTTAACGCATGGTGTATGTTCGGTGGACTTGCGGTGATCGTAACAATGGTAGAACCTATAATAGGTAAAAGTTAAGAAGATATTTAAAACGTGCATTATAGTTATCCACTTGCATGAATTTGAAGTTGTTTTGCTCTTTATTCGGAGGTCCTCCCTACTATGACAACCTTTACACACCAAAGGCCATTTATGTTACACATTTGACCTGCTCAAAAATCTCTCCGCACTAATCTATATGGTAACAGCAGACCTGCCGAAGTCTCCTTTTCACGTTTTTCTCCCAAACTACAACGATCTGTTGACAACTGACAGGTGTTAGCAATACTTTAGGGCAGTGGGAAGATGGTGGCCGTAGTTTGAATTTAATTATTAGTTATAACTATTAATAGCATATTTTGAAGACATTTTCTAGCTTTCGGCAATTTCCGTACAGCTTCGGCATGTGTGGCAGGTATCACAATACAACCACAAGAGATAGCAGGATTTGGTGACCTACATGTATTGGTACCTAACGTCATTGGCTGCCAAACACGACGGAGCGGGCGCGATTCCCTCTCATTCCCGATTTTTTTTCTTTTATTTATTTTATAATTATTATTATACTAATCCCTTATCATGGTTCAATGATTGATGTGACGGGTATCAGCTAGTAGTCTATAGCGTGCAAAAAAGTTTAAAGACTTGTCGTCAAGTAGCTTTAATAAATGTATTTGAATTATGTCTACTCGCTTTTCTTAACAACTTTTCGTAGCATATAAAGCCCCCTTTACACTGGACGGCGTCCTTTCTGCGTCCAGCAGTACGGCCCCATTTGAGAGTTAAAAAATTATAATACTTTACGTCCCGACAACTGGCCGATCATTGAGCATTCATTCTGATACAAAATCAATGCTCGTGCCTCCTTATTAAGACCACAGCGATGCCAAATTTCATGGTCGCAGAAAGGACGCAGAAAGGACGCCGTTCAGTGTAAAGGGGGTATTAGTATATACTAGCAACACGAAGAGACGGGAAAAGGGTAATGGACGTTTTGTTTTCTCTTTAAACAAGCCGTTCTCACATAGACTTTTTTGTTTGCACAAGTTCCACTTCTGAACCCAATGAAAGCTAAGGCCATGCCAGGTGAATGTTTATGAGTATATTTTTTGTCAATATCGTAACTAGCCGTTAATCAATTGGTGACCTTGTTTTGCGGCATTTGGAGGGTTGCCCTGGAGAAGAAAACAGAACAATATAGGAACGTGCTCTAGTCTGTCTCTGGTATTCACTCCGTAATTTTCTTACATACATTTGAGAGAAAAAATATTTGTAGAACTTCGTCAGCATGGCAGAGTGGAAACAAAAGCTTTTTGGCTGTTTCAATAATTTCGGCATCTGTATCGTCACGTATTTTGTGCCGTGTCTCACAGCCGGTAAAAATGCCGAAGCCGTTGGAGAATCCTGCGGGTTGTATGGGTGCCTGAGCATCCTCGGTCCTGTTGGGATTTACACTCGGGCTAAGATCAGAGAGAAGATCAGAGAAAAGCAAGGAATAGAGGTAGGGGGCGGTTGGAGTCATTTTCACTTTTAGTTTCAATCTGTAACATGTTTTTTTTAAGTGCTTAAAATCTTGATGATAACATCGTAGCGATAGATGCCAAAATACTTCATGTAAGTTTCAAGAAGTTTAAAAACCATATTATGTCCAAGGAAAAACTAATAGTTAAAGAGGCAAGCAGCCCCACTCCCACCAGTTATTATATTTGCACGGATATTAATGATGGGATTTTACAGTTAAAAAGCCGTGAACGATCATGACAATGTCAAAACAGTTTCATGGGATCTCAGTTTTGATAATCGAAAAGTTTTTATTTATGATAGATCAACAGAATTGATTTACCTGGTGACTGTTTCACCTGTTCACATTGACCCTGGGAGGGGGGGGGGAGGCGAGAGAGGCTAACAAGTCATCATCAAGTCCGAGGTAATTACCTGTTCACCTTCACCTGAACAGGTAAATCAGTTGTGACCAAGACTGTCAGGGTTGATATCAGAAAACTGGAGAGAGGGGTTTTCATTCTTACTCGGGTAACATCAAGACGGACTTGTTGTAATTGACGCCGCTTTTGGTCGGTTTTCTCAGAAAGATTACCATATAAGACCACAGAAATAGTTGAGACAGGTACGTGGACGTTAAAAATATCACGTTCTTATCAGCACTAAGAGATTTAATCGCAATGAATCTCGTCGAATTTACAACCCGCAAACTGTGGTATCCAAGAAAACAAAATGAATAATTCACAAGGTCGTAACAACCAGATAACCCTTGAGATAACGCAAAAAAGTGCGCCAATATAAGAGGAGTAATAAAAGTTGGGAACAGCCTAATAAAATGGTTCATGATCCTAATTCGTTACACAAAGTCTAGTGTTGTGCGGCTTGAGAATTTATTTCTTTGTTTTTAAAGGATATTTCAATCGAAAGATTTATAATTTGAAACCCAAGCACTGCGTCTTTTCTGGTACATGTTTTGCGCCGGCTTTTCAAGTAAACCGGATTTGTTTACAACAAGTTCGCTTCTTAAAACCTACCACAGCCCCGAGCAGTGGGAATGGAGGCGAAAAAGATCTATCGCCGCCTAAAAAAAAAAAAAAAGAAGAAAGAAAAAGAAGCAAATAATATGAACATTCAAGGCAGAAGTCCTTTCAGCTAGCTTGGTTAAAGGAATTTCCGTGTATTATTTTTGTTGGGAAGGCCATGTTTAGCCGACCTTGCAGGGCCCCGTAACTCGAAATCATCGCGCGTTGTGACCGAGCGCAAGCGTCTCGATTCCATAACTCGCCCATACTCGCCGCATATAATACAATATCGCCTCTATGTGATATCGCTATTCGCAATGCGCGTTGCCTTCGAGTTACGGGGCCCTGGGTCGTCGTACAACAAGGTGCCAGTGACTTTGACTTACTACTTGACAGTGATGGCAGTGGCAGTGACTGTTTTAGAATTTACAATTAAATGACATGAATAACTTTGTCCTTACTAATAAATTAACATGAAGTTCAGGACTTAAAAAGTTAAATAACTCTATGAAAAAAAGCCGGTATAAGAGAAATTGAAAGAGAAACTATTCGGGACTGACTGGTATAGGTATATGACCTAAAATAAACGTATTAAGAAAAGAGCAGTGATGATAAAAGCGACGTTTCTTTTTTAATTTTCTTGTATTTATAACATGAAAAAAGATTAAACGTATAGCATTCCTATTAATATCATTAATTTATAATGAATATGCAGTCCCCCCTTTTTTAATTTACTAGCGTTTTTTCATTCATTAAAAACAGATTATCTGAACTAGATAAATACCTCAGTTTTTTGGGTGAAATGCTACCAAAAATTCACCATTTTGCAACATATTTTCAAAATTTTCTCGGGGGAGTTCCCCCACACGGCCCTCCCGTCGAACGTTTGGCCCTGCATCTTTTTGGCCAAGCACCCCATACGAACCAGCAAGTGGGAAAAGGTGGATACATTTGACATATGACTTCAAGGATTACTTTCTTTTCAATAAATTTGCATGTTATTAAGTCTAAAAGTATTTGTGTGTGTGGGTGTGTGTGTGTGTGGGTGGGTGTCTGTGTCAGTGCGTGCGGGGGGCGGAGGGCAGTGGAGGATGGGCCAACGGAAATTTCTCTGGATCCGCCCCTGAGTTGAAATCCTATCAATCTCTTTACAACCTGAACTGTGAAGAAGCGCACAAGAAGAATTATTGTAGTGACAACTCCCCCTGATTGATTATTCTCCATTCTATTATGGTAGAGTAGGTAGTGTTCCTAGGGTTGAGCATTATTTATTTATTCGGTATTATTTATTACCAAGGCACAGATCGATGCAGAAAAAAACGCAGTTCATACTGACCTAGGACAAAAACGTTTGTTATTTAGTTTGGCTCGTTATTTATTTATTTATCTATTTATTTATTTTACCAGTCTTGGTCAAATTTCCACACTTTATTACTAGAGTAACATATCGTTTATTGAGCAATTAACAACAGAGAACCCCTAGCAACAAAAGACCTCGATACCGAAAAAAAACACAGTATTTAATTACTTAGGAAAAACTCTTTCTTATTTCCCGTTTTTATTAGTCTTGGTCAAATATCTACATTTCGCTTCATTAAGAAAACCTAAGTTAACACCGCAACGACAAAATAAAGTCTTTAGTACGTCTAATATGGTTAATATTGAAAGGAATATGCCTAACCAGCCCATACCGTGACTTTGCTACGGACAATGAACGTTTTTTCTTTATTGGTTTTTAGCTTGGAGACCCCTCTCTTTTGTCCCAGCGCGTGGCAATATTTAGTTATTGACAAAGCAAATACCAACATGGTGATGGGGTTAACTTGTGTCAATAGCTCATTGAAATCACAAGTTTACATGTAGTTTGCAGCTTTTTATGGCGGTACATCGATTAGTCTTTCGCTACCTGTGTATCTAGGAGCCATTACATGTGTATAAATGAGCGCTTACGACTAAATAGCAGGACAACAGTGGGAGAATGGATACATACTGTACAGCTTCTTGATTGCCGGATCCAGGATTTTTGGAGGGAGGGAGGGGGGATCTTTTGAGGGGGGTTGCACTAGGATACACACATTTTTTTTTTGCCTCCCTCCTCTCGGAAAATACAAAAGTGTAGATGAGGACAATAATACTATAATACATACGCCACACGGGGGATAATTAACGAACCGCAGGTGGTTTATTTGATTTTAGAAGAAAAAGAGAGACGAAGGAGAAATGGATAGCTTAGAAATTTAGGGCAGGGCATGGGTCTGTTGTAGAAACTCCCCCCACTCCCACCATATCACACCCCCACCCTCCCCAAATCCCCCATGAAATATATATGTTTACATAGCATGTTAAATAGCATGCTGCCCTGTTAAAATGTCGATAGCGAACAAAGCCGATAGTTTTTAGCTAACACTGTTTTGTACTTTGTTTCCGTCTTGTGTCGTTAACATCGGTTTGTTTTCATGCATTTTTCCAAACCTTTTTGCACATGTATATTATAGGATTTAACTGGCGCTTTCTCATTGATCCGATCCCATGTACTTCTGTGTTTTGAATTATGACGAAATCCGGTATCGATATTCAGTCTACTGTTTCCTTTGATATTGAGTAACGTGTTCTGTTTCTACTGTCATACAGTTTCACGTACAAAAGATTAAAGAACACGCTTTTTTAAAAATTTATTTCATCATTCAAGCAATACAGTTAGGATTTGAACTAATTTTTACAGGGAGATTTCGTCAATGATTGTTTGATGCACTGGTTTTGCGGACTGTGTGCCCTGGTACAGGAAGCACAGGTGGGTACCGGCGTGCTNGGTTATTGCACAGTTAACGCATGGTCTATGTTCGGTGGACTTGCGGTGATCGTAACAATGGTAGAACCTATAATAGGTAAAAGTTAAGAAGATATTCAAAACGTGCATTATAGTTATCCACTTGCATGAATTTGAAGTTGTTTTGCTCTTTATTCGGAGGTCCTCCCTACTATGACAACCTTTACACACCAAAGGCCATTTATGTTACACATTTGACCTGCTCAAAAATCTCTCCGCACTAATCTATATGGTAACAGCAGACCTGCCGAAGTCTCCTTTTCACGTTTTTCTCCCAAACTACAACGATCTGTTGACAACTGACAGGTGTTAGCAATACTTTAGGGCAGTGGGAAGATGGTGGCCGTAGTTTGAATTTGATTATTAGTTATAACTGTTAATAGCATATTTTGAAGACATTTTCTAGCTTTCGGCAATTTCCGTACAGCTTCGGCATGTGTGGCAGGTATCACAATACAACTACAAGAGATAGCAGGATTTGGTGACCTACATGTATTGGTACCTAACGTCATTGGCTGCCAAACACGACGGAGCGGGCGCGATTCCCTCTCATTCCCGATTTTTTTTCTTTTATTTATTTTATAATTATTATTATACTAATCCCTTATCATGGTTCAATGATTGATGTGACGGGTATCAGCTAGTAGTCTATAGCGTGCAAAAAAGTTTAAAGACTTGTCGTAAAGTAGCTTTAATAAATGTATTTGAATTATGTCTACTCGCGTTTCTTAACAACTTTTCGTAGCATATACTAGCAACACGAAGAGACGGGAAAAGGGTAATGGGCGTTTTGTTTTCTCTTCAAACAAGCCGTTCTCACATAGACTTTTCTGTTTGCACAAGTTCCACTTCTGAATCCAATGAAAGCTAAGGGCATGCCAGGTGAATGTTTATGAGTATATTTTTTTGTCAATATCGTAACTAGCCGTTAATCAATTGGTGACCTTGTTTTGTGGCATTTGGAGGGTTGCCCTGGAGAAGAAAACAGAACAATATAGGAACGTGCTCTAGTCTGTCTCTGGTATTCACTCCGTAATTTTCTTACATACATTTGAGAGAAAAAATATTTGTAGAACTTCGTCAGCATGGCAGAGTGGAAACAAAAGCTTTTTGGCTGTTTCAATAATTTTGGCATCTGTATCGTCACGTATTTCGTGCCGTGTCTCACAGCCGGTAAAAATGCCGAAGCCGTTGGAGAATCCTGCGGGTTGTATGGGTGCCTGAGCATCCTCGGTCCTGTTGGGATTTACACTCGGGCTAAGATCAGAGAGAAGATCAGAGAAAAGCAAGGAATAGAGGTAGGGGGCGGTTGGAGTCATTTTCACTTTTAGTTTCAATCTGTAACATGTTTTTTTTAAGTGCTTAAAATCTTGATGATAACATCGTAGCGATAGATGCCAAAATACTTCATGTAAGTTTCAAGAAGTTAAAAAACCATATTATGTCCAAGGAAAAACTAATAGTTTAAGAGGCAAGCAGCCCCACTCCCACCAGTTATTATATTTGCACGGATATTAATGATGGGATTTTACAGTTAAAAAGCCGTGAACGATCATGACAATGTCAAAACAGTTTCATGGGATCTCAGTTTTGATAATCGAAAAGTTTTTATTTATGATAGATCCACAGAATTGATTTACCTGGTGACTGTTTCACCTGTTCACATTGACCCTGGGAGGGGGGGGGGAGGCGAGAGAGGCTAACAAGTCATCATCAAGTCCGAGGTAATTACCTGTTCACCTTCACCTGAACAGGTAAAGCAGTTGTGACCAAGACTGTCAGGGTTGATATCAGAAAACTGGAGAGAGGGGTTTTCATTCTTACTCGGGTAACATCAAGACGGACTTGTTGTAATTGACGCCGCTTTTGGTCGGTTTTCTCAGAAAGATTACCATATAAGACCACAGAAATAGTTGAGACAGGTACGTGAACGTTAAAAATATCACGTTCTGTGTCAACACACATATCAGCACTAAGAGATTTAATCGCAATGAATCTCGTCGAATTTACAACCCGCAAACTGTGGTATCCAAGAAAACAAAATTAATAATACACAAGGTCGTAACAACCAGATAACCCCAGAGATAACGCAAAAAAGTGCCCCAATATAAGAGGAGTAATAAAAGCTTGGGAACAGCCTAATAAAATGGTTCATGATCCTAATTCGTTACACGAAGTCTAGTGTTGTGCGGCTTGAGAATTTATTTCTTTGTTTTTAAAGGATATTTCAATCGAAAGATTTATAATTTGAAACCCAAGCACTGCGTCTTTTCTGGTACATTTTTTGCGCCGGCTTTTCAAGTAAACCGGATTTGTTTACAACAAGTTCGCTTCTTAAAACCTACCGCAGCCCCGAGCAGTGGGAATGGAGGTGAAAAAGATCTATCGCCGCCTAAAAAAAAGAAGAAAGAAAAAGAAGCAAATAATATGAACATTCAAGGCAGAAGTCCTTTCAGCTAGCTTGGTTAAAGGAATTTCCGCGTATTATTTTTGTTGGGAAGGCCATGTTTAGCCGACCTTGCAGGCCCCGTAACTCGAAAGCATCGCGCGTTGTGACCGAGCGCAAGCGTCTCGATTCCACAACTCGCCCATACTCGCCGCATATAATACAATATCGCCTCTATGTGATATCGCTATTCGCAATGTGCGTTGCCTTCGAGTTACGGGGCCCTGGGTCGTCGTACAACAAGGTGCCAGTGACTTTGACTTACTACTTGACAGTGATGGCAGTGGCAGTGACTGTTTTAGAATTTACAATTAAATGACATGAATAACTTTGTCCTTACTAATAAATTAACATGAAGTTCAGGACTTAAAAAGTTAAATAATTCTATGAAAAAAAGCCGGTATAAGAGAAATTGAAAGAGAAACTATTCGGGACTGACTGGTATAGGTATATGACCTAAAATAAACGTATTAAGAAAAGAGCAGTGATGATATAAGCGACGTTTCTTTTTTTAATTTTCTTGTATTTATAACATGAAAAAAGATTAAACATATAGCATTCTTACTAATATCATTAATTTATAATGAATATGCAGTCCCCCCTTTTTTAATTTACTAGCGTTTTTTCATTCATTAAAAACAGATTATCTGAACTAGATAAATACCTCAGTTTTTTGGGTGAAATGCTACCAAAATTCACCATTTTGCAACATATTTTCAAATTTTTCTCGGAGAAGTTCCCCCACACGGCCCTCCCGTCGAACGTTTGGCCCTGCATCTTTTTGGCCAAGCACCCCATACGCACCAGCTAGTGGGAAAAGGTGGATACATTTGACATATGACTTCAAGGATTACTTTCTTTTCAATAAATTTGCATGTTATTAAGTCTAAAAGTATTTGTGTGTGTGGGTGTGTGTGTGTGTGTGGGTGTGTGTCAGTGCGTGCGGGGGGGGGGGGGGGGGCGGAGGGCAGTGGAGGATGGGCCAACGAAAATCTCTCTGGATCCGCCCCTGAGTTGAAATCCTATCAATCTCTTTACAACCTGATCTGTGGAGAAGCGCACAAGAATTATTGTAGTGACAACTCCCCCTGATTGATTATTCTCCATTCTATTATGGTAGAGTAGGTAGTGTTCCTAGGGTTGAGCATTATTTATTTATTTATTCGGTATTATTTATTGGCCTATAAACAATAGAGAACGCTTACCAAGGCACAGATCGATGCAGGAAAAAAAAACGCAGTTCATACTGACCTAGGACAAAAACGTTTGTTATTTAGTTTGGCTCGTTATTTATTTATTTATTTATTTATTATATTTTACCAGTCTTGGTCAAATTTCCACACTTTATTACTAGAGTAACATATCGTTTATTGAGCAATTAACAACAGAGAACCCCTAGCAACAAAAGACCTCGATACCGAAAAAAAAACCACAGTATTTAATTACTTAGGAAAAACTCTTTCTTATTTCCCGTTTTTATTAGTCTTGGTCAAATATCTACATTTCGCTTCATTAAGAAAACCTACGTTAACACCGCAGCGACAAAATAAAGTCTTTAGTACGTCTAATATGGTTAATATTGAAAGGAATATGCCTAACCAGCCCATACCGTGACTTTGCTACGGACAATGAACGTTTTTTCTTTATTGGTTTTTAGCTTGGAAACCCCTCTCTTTTGTCCCAGCGCGTGGCAATATTTAGTTATTGACAAAGCAAATACCAACATGGTGATGGGGTTAACTTGTGTCAATAGCTCATTGAAATCACAAGTTTACATGTAGTTTGCAGCTTTTTATGGCGGTACATCGATTAGTCTTTCGCTACCTGTGTATCTAGGAGCCATTACATGTGTATAATTGAGCGCTTACGACTAAATAGCAGGACAACAGTGGGAGAATGGATACATACTGTACAGCTTCTTGATTGCCGGATCCAGGATTTTTTGGAGGGAGGGAGGGGGGATCTTTTGAGGGGGGGTTGCACTAGGATACACACATTTTTTTTTGCCTCCCTCCTCTCGGAAAATACAAAAGTGCAGATGAGGACAATAATACTATAATACATACGCCACACGGGGGATAATTAACGAACCGCAGGTGGTTTATTTGATTTTAGAAGAAAAAGAGAGACGAGGGAGAAATGGATAGCTTAGAAATTTAGGGCAGGGCATGGGTCTGTTGTAGAAACTCCCCCCACTCCCACCATATCACATCCCACCCTCCCCAAATCCCCCATGAAATATATATGTTTACATAGCATGTTAAATAGCATGCTGCCCTGTTAAAATGTCGATAGCGAACAAAGCCGATAGTTTTTAGCTAACACTGTTTTGTACTTTGTTTCCGTCTTGTGTCGTTAACATCGGTTTGTTTTCATGCATTTTTCCAAACCTTTTTGCACATGTATATTATAGGATTTAACTGGCGCTTTCTCATTGATCCGATCCCATGTACTTCTGTGTTTTGAATTATGACGAAATCCGGTATCGACATTCAGTCTACTGTTTCCTTTGATATTGAGTAACGTGTTCTGTTTCTACTGTCATACAGTTTCATGTACAAAAGATTAAAGAACACGTTTCTTTTAAATTTATTTCATCGTTCAGGCAATACATTTAGGATTTGAACTAATTTTTACAGGGAGATTTCGTCAATGATTGTTTGATGCACTGGTTTTGCGGACTGTGTGCCCTGGTACAGGAAGCACAGGTGGGTACTGGAGTGCTTTCCTTAAACAAATAAGAGGACCAATTATACTTTTTTAAAATAACAACGAGAAAACAATAATAATGGAAAAGGTAAAATAAATTAAAAAGCTTAAACGGAAAAGTGACATGAAAAAGATAAGTGCTTTACAGATTGGCTAGTTAAAGGGAATTAATGATAAATAATTATTTGGAAAATGATTTAAAATGACAGGCTGCGTTTTTTATGGAACTGAAATGCTGACAATCAGCCCCTCCTCTAATACACACGCGTACACACACACACACACACAGACACACACACACATACACAAACATACATAAACCCTCACATGGACATGTAGACACACACACACACACACACACAC